GGGTTATGTTTACTTTACTGGAAGAGGCATCCTTCAAGCAGGCTGGTCAGAAAGCATAAACACGCAGAATAAACACTAAAATTGCTTCTGGGAACTTCTTATGTCTGTTTCATCAGAAATTGTTGACACTGAGGTCTTCTGTATGCGCCATGAGTGTTTATTGATCTTAAAAACCTGAGGATGATTTCACATTTAGCTATCATACACAAATTACATTTAGTTTTAAGGACTCATTTGAGATTATACTTAGAAATTAACTCGGATATAATACAATAATATAGTTTATCAGATCATTGTTGGAAAATATCCAAAACATACTTTAGACCATTTTTATTTGTATCTTTTTTTGAAGTAAACATTTTTTTTGTGATTTCTGTTTTTATAAGTATCACAATATTTCAAAGGATTTTTGTTGGCTAGTCAAATATTTCTGAGGCTGCTGCGTATTAACTCATGACCTCAGTATTTCTAAAATCCCGGCTACAATGACAGTATTTGCCTCCACCAGCACATCACAAAATATATCATCCACCAGATGACTGCAGCAGAACTGTTCCCAGCCCTCTCTGCTCTATGTATATTTTCTGTCATCATAACAATAGTATATGACATCAAGTGAAGCAGGGAAGCAAACTCAGCAGCCACTTTTCACAGTAATTATCACTCGCTACCACGCTCCGTCTGTGGCTCAGCTAGCAACCAGCAGCACCTCTGACCCTCACTCAACACGGTCATACGGTACACACACTGTTTACTTTGCCCTCTTCTTTCACCTGCGTGTGAGGGAGTGTGTTACTGAATCTAAATTTCCATCAATTACATACAAAAACTGCTTGACTGTACAGTAAGTGTTTCATATTGCCAGCTCATGGCTCCTGGTCTGTAATTTACAACTGCGCCTTACTCACAATGTGCTCATTGTGCATACAGGCCCTGTTTATAGAATGACCGCAATGGTTGTAATGTTAGCGGCCCCCAAGGAGCCAGTTGTCATGCCACAGGGAAGCCTGTTAGAATAATAATGATAGAAATAACATTCATGTTACCTGCACTCTAAAAAGCGTGTGGTAAAGACGGAAAATAGCAAACGTCCTACTGTGTACTGAGTCACAATATGTTTCAGAGCTACATAGAATAAAGAAACTTTAACATTCTCTCCACAAACAGTCCTCAGAGGACACATCATCAGAGAGCGGGGAGCAGCACAGACAGTAACACGGTAAAAGCGGAAGAGAGAGACATAAAAGCAGCATTGTGGAAAAACTGAACTGATCTGAGGAATCCCTCAACACAGGGCTGGACTTTATACTTTTATAACTTTACTTTACTGCTCAAACAGTAACATGTCTACGGCTGTGCTGGTCTAAAGCAATACAATCATCTTTACAAACAATTGTGTCGTCACAATTTTATTGACAAAGCAATTATTGATGATTTAATCAATAGATCTGAAAAACTGAGTTTATCTTCAAAGAACCAGGGTTGACTCATTCAGCTTGTCAAAAAGGGCTAAAGAAACCTAAGTCAACGAAGACCAAAAGGACTAACTATTCAACAAATTAATTACCAGGGAGCAGCCCTAAACATTTCAGAGGCAGGTTATATTTGTCAACGCTTAAAATGTAATTTTCTCCATCCCTATTTTCAACATATTAAACGGTGTCTTCATTTGCAGGTATTTTCAACCTCCCTAAAGCAGCTTTTCAATGTGGAATCAATAAAGAAAGTGTAGCTCTTTCCTTGATTCACTGACCAGTCTTTTTCCCGGATGACAAATTCTAACATTTCAGATTCACCCAGTAGAATTAAAAAACTACTTTTACATTTCCCTCCTCCAAAAAGAAAAAACTGTTTTAAACATCTCCCGCTGGGTTTTTTTTTTTCACATATCATCATGACATTCCATATTCCCAAAACAACTTGACATCCTCCATCAACTTTTACAACAACATGCACACAGATACGGACACTGCACATATTGTTCAGCTCTGCCGGTGTGCTGGAAATACCAGGAGTACATCTGTTCTTGCACCAAGGGTTCCCAATCAAGCTACTGTCACAGAGCTCCCTGCTACCTTTCTGGCAGCTCCCAGCTTATATCTGTCTAAACCTGTCTCCTTTGTCAAGAGTTCAGCAGGTTAATGAGCACTCTCATTTCCCAGCACTCACTTCAGTCTGTAGACAGGGTGAGAGCGAGTCCTCTCAAAAGGCAACGTCAGGAATTAAAAATAACATGCAATAGCCAAATGAAATGTACCAAGTATACACATATTAAAATGACTCCAAAATAAAATATGCAGGGAAGGGGTTTGTTGTACGGGGAGCGCCAGAGTAAGTGAGCCACTTTAATCACCAGTAGTTTTACACTGAGGAAGTGACTCTCCAGTGATTTAGGAATGTGTAGAGCTCATCAGTGCCCAAAAATAGCGGGGCCCATTAATTAGTCTCAAACAATGTTCTCCTGCTGTATTGACTTCTTAATGGACAGAAAAGGACCTTGTTCGTATTCCCATCTAGTCAATGACACAGAGGCTCTCTGGGGTTTGGAAATGGGTATTATGTCATCTCACCCTGCCCTTCAGAAACCGGACCTGTGCTGTTTTTCATTCTTCCTCGCCCTCTCTTGCTCATTAACTATGTAGGAGTGAGATGAAGGTCTGGAGCAGCTATAAGGTTGCTCACAGACCCTCATGGCTGTCTAGGATATGTGCTCGGACACCCAATTTAAGCCTGTGTTGCTTTTGCACGAGCAGCCAGAACTTTCCAAAAAAAAAATATGTCATATCATTGAGAAATCTGCCTCTGTAAGCCTTTCCTTGCTGAAGTCTGTCTACAAGCCCCACATTCTGCTCATTTATTCCCATCTCGTCTTGTTTTTCAACCATAGTTCATTCAGAAAGAGCAGACAGATCACCTTAAATCCAGAAGCATACACACTTCATCTGGCATCTGACACACATGCACAAACACATACTGAACATTAACCCCTCTCACAGATGGCTTCCTCCGAGCTCCCTTTGTTTGACAGACAATCCCACTCAGGAGAGAGCAGATTAAGTAAATGGCTTCAGGTGTTGTGGCATTATCTCAATGCTTTCCGTAACTGACAGCTACTACGGCTCACAGAAAAAAAAAATCTTTCAACAGACGGCTCTTTTCTGAGGGAAAAGGCTGGAGGAACTGAGGGTTAAAATGCTCACTGGTTTAAGATGAATACAGTGAGAGGGGGAAATTAAAATTACCTCACACACTTAACCACTCCACATCTCAAACATACCGATTATTCAGTTCTAATAAAGACCTGTCCTCTGAGCAAAGGTCAAGACTTTTTAATATAGAAGATTTAATAGCTTCATTGGACTCCGACACAAATCGTCCTTTAAGGATCTCAATAATGGACATCCAATTTTTGAATTAAACTATACATATGTATGTCAAGATATGATAGCCAGTAATTAACGATTTTGCCAGTAATCTTTCAAACCTGAAAACCAAGGGGAAAGCTATTGAATGACCATCCAAGCTCTAAGGTTTTCTAATGCCCGCAAGAAACTTCATAAGAAGCAGTGAGAATTGGTTCATGAGAAAGAATGTTAATATAATTTAGTTCCAAATATTTAGGGAAATAATGGTCTATTTGTTAAATGTAACCTCCAGTAATATTATTCAGAATCTGCATTGTTATTGTTGTCAATCTAATGGGGCATAACAATCTTTAAGGATCAATTTTAGCAAGATCTAAAACAAGTTACCTAAATATGGGCTCAATTTTATTTTTGATGTTATCTTGGAAGCGCTGTTGGAGCACAGCAGCACTTCTTCATTTATTTTCCTAAGGAAACAGATGTGATCATGGGACTGTTTATGTTTACACGTAGCAGCCACTTGTGTTTTTCACAACTGAATAAAGAAAATGATATATTTTAAATTAAAGTGTGGTTTATTTTGTTCACCTTTTTTTCCAGCAAAGAGTTTGACTTCTATGGTTTTTCATAATTAGGCTAAAGTATTTATAGTTTCAATCTTAGGCCTTCTTTTTGTGTACACAGGCTTGTCTTGATCTCTCTAGTAGCCAAAAGGTGAGTCAATATATTGTTTCTGCTAAGAGTGTGTGTAAACTAACTTCAGGTGATTGTTCCGGTCCACTACACCCCTGCTGTAAGCCTCGAGGAGTTAACAAACTTCGAAACCAAGTTCACAGGTAAAATATACACTTTTAACTTTACCTTGAGCCACTCCGATATCCACCAGGAGAAAAAGCAGAAGCCAGGAAAGGGTCAGCATCTCAGGAGAGGATCTCGCTCCTCTTCCTCTTCCTCTATCAGTTTGTGCACCGTGCCCCATGATGAGGAGTCAAACTCCGCTCTGAGGCAAGTCCGAGTCTCTGGAAATTGCGCTCAATCACGCGCAATGTTCGCTCGCTGTTGTGCGCAACGGTCCAAACGTCACCCCACACCGAGCGCACAGCAAATTGGCTTTGCAAAAAAATATCCAGCCCGGTGTTTTGACATTCATATAAACTGTGACAGTTTATGGAACAAGAGGCGAGTGCATCGCCCTCCGTCTGTAGGGATGTTGCATTCAAATCTATCTCCGTTTGCTTTTCCTTTGAAAGCTTCACTTGGTTTGTCTAGAGGTGTGGATCGATGTCTTGATGCCCAATTCATGCTCCGATTACTCCCACACACAAAATCAAAGTCCTCCGGTGAGTCCACTCTCTCTGTGGCACCTTTCACGCGTGCAGCCAAGTATGTGTGAACCGTGTGTGTGCGTGCTTCGAGCCTCGCGCTCCACTGACGGGACTGAACCGGGGGAAGGAGCAGTCTCTGCGGGCTACCTTGCTCCTTCAGCCAATCCAAGTGCTCTGCAAGTGGCAGCGCTGTCTCAAAACCTGGCCCGGACACAGCGAGGAATGGATGGCATCTTTTCAGATTACATGATTTATGGAAGCCTTGAGCTCAATGTACATGGCGATCGTTGAAGTTGGTTATGCCTACACCTCTAAATTGCGTACCAAATTCTCTTTTGCTTTGAGAAATAGGTGCTTGTGGGTTATCTGTCTCCTTTTTTATTGTTTTTTCCGACTCTCTAAATACGCACTTTTTCTTTTTTTCAGACTCTCTAAATAACCTCCTAACCCTAACCCCTAGGCTTAATGTTTGTTATTTTTAGAAATTGAAAAGTTCTTGTGGAGGAGCCAGCTACCCGCTATTAAAAAGTGGCGACAGATAACCCACAAATAACAATAAATAATAGATTTAAAAATCAGTTTACTTTTTATTTTCATTTCCTTTCATTTCAAACCTTTATTTAATCAGATTGGTCCCTTGAGATCATAGTTCTCTTTTTCAAGGGAGACCTGCAGCATATAGGTTCCACATTAATTTGGTCTCTACATTTATTGCAAAACATGAATGAATTACATATGAGCCACAGTTGATTGATTTGATATGTAAGTTGTGGAAGAGTGTGATATAAATACCTCAATGCATTTCAAGTTTGTTTTTATAGTTAAACTCAGTGGTTTCCAACCTAGGGGTCAAGCTTACTTCTAAGGGTCACAAGATAAAAGGAGCGGTCTTGAAATAATAAATATTGGATAATTTGACCTGCTCTTGTTTCAAACAGTGAAACCAAACCATTTGAGTATTTTAAAGAGGACATGTCTTCTCTGTGGAACTTCTTTGAACTTAAAAACCTCTAAAACATGACGAGGAGCCCCCCAAAATGTGGTTACCTCCCGTGCTGAAAGATGAATCCAATGCTGAGGTGCTACAAAGTGCAGTTCCTCAAATGCCCATTTAAGGCTAGCTCCAAAAGCAAGTCAATCGTCAAATCCCAATGTTAAATGCCCAACTTGAAAGCAGAAATTAACATGTTTACAAACTGGTACAAAAAACAGGTTTGGTCACTGCTGAATTCCCCTGTATATAACAACTACAACCAGGGATGGCAAAAGTACACACATCCTTTACTCAAGTAAGTAAAGATACTCGTGTTTAAAAATACTCTGGCAAAAGTAGAAGTACTGACTAAACTTCTTTACTGAAGTAAAAGTAAAGAAGTGTAGGCTTCGAAATGTACTTAAGTAAAAAGTACCCATAACCACCAACTGTTTTAAAGAGTAACTGACCTCACTTTATATTATTAGAACAATAATGTCATTGTTAGCTAATGAATGTTTCGATGCTGAACAACGGCAAAATGACAACGTTTTCGTTTCACGCAATGACTCTAAATAATAATGATCACGCCACCAAACACAGATTAAAACTAAAGTAACGAAACTGTTTTGAAAATGTAAGAAGTAGAAAGTACAGGTATTTGTGTTAAAAATGTAAGAATTAAAAGTAAAAAGTCGTCAGAAAAATAAGTAGTGGAGTAAAGTACTGATACCAGAAAAATGTACTTAAGTACAGTAACGAAGTATTTGTACTCCATTACTTCCCACCTCTAACTACAACAGTAGTAAACATTGTAATAATTCACCTCTGCATAAGTATAAAGTAGCAAAACATTAAAATACTATAATAATATTCAAGTAAAAGTACCTCCAAACTTAAGAACAGCACTGGAGTATCATTTCACCAGAGTGCATTGCAAACAGGTGCTTCCGTTTCCTTGTCTCTGTGTATTTTGAGAACATAAATCGTCATTAATTTAGCGCAGGGGCTGCAGCAGGAAGGCATAATTTATCTGACCGGGCCCCGCGCTCGCCCTTGTTTCTGTCACTCTAATTGTTATTTAGAAGTAGTAATAGCATGTCACAAAACCTGATCAATAACGACCTCAGCCTAACAGACACACTCTGGAACACACAGGCACACACTTTTTTCATTGAAGGGGGACATTTGTTTGAACTATTCTGATCAAAGACTGATGAGTAATCACATATGCATGACAGATGTATAGGCAATGCCCCTGGTATTTCATGATTAATGTGAAATATGAGCCTGACACCATCTCTGAACTAAAATGAAACGTAATAAACTTTTACAATTTCAATCTAATTTAGGAAGCATGGTATCCATCTCCCCTCTATCAACATTTTATTTTTAATGGACGGAGATGTCAGAGAAGCTGTCATCTTGCTGGCATTTCAATTTCAGGTAAGATGTGAAGGAAATTGCTTTTATTCTTCACTCAAAGTGTTCTAGGATGGGAATTATAGCCAATGTTTGGGTCTTCAATATGATAGTACATATTGTATGTTCTACACAAAGCACCATATGTGTTGAACAAGCTTCTTTTGCCATGTCATGAATGCATAGATTGAACAAGGTGCTGTATGTATTCCTCATGGATGGTTGCTGACTCCACAGTGATGCATGGCTGCTATCAACATATTCCACATTATCCCAAAAGGTGCTCTATTCGGTCCAGATATGACGAATGCAAGAGTCAATCTGAGGTCATGAAACAATCTTGTGTGTGCATGTGAAATGACATCTTATCTTGCTGCTTGTATTCATTCAAACAAAACAAAACTGCACTAGGACTGACATGAAGGGCACATATTGACCCTGTCACCAGTATGTCAGATTATAAACCAGGATTTCTCAGCATGTGCTTCATTTTTCCACTCCTCAGTCATCCAGCTCTGGTGATGGCTCACATAGCCTCATTTTCTTGTTCTTTGCTGACTGGAGAGGAAAGTGGCCCTCTGCGGCGGCAGCCCATCCAATTCAAGGTTAAATGATGTGTGCTTTCTGAAATGTCCTTCCGCACACTACCATTGTACTGAGCTGTCATTTATTTGTGGCCTGTTAACTTGAACAAGTTTTGCCAGTCTCCTCTGACTTCTCTCTTGAGCCACTGAGGAGCCACTGATTCTGAAAGCAGCAAGTCACATCCTTTGCTTAAATTATCAATCTATATTGTTTCTGTCTCGCTCTGAAATGTACTGTAAAGAAGAAAGCCAGAGGAATCATCTTTAAAGGGAATTCATTTAAACAATTTAAGACTATTATAAGTGTTGATATATACTTGTTTAATTGATTTGACGTCACACTGACGTAAAGAATAATTACATTTCAATGTGACATTTAAAAACCTCATAGAACTCAACTAAAATGCTTTAGTAAGAAAAGCAACTGACACTTTCTGTTGCCTCCCAGAGAATTGCACCAAATCAATACTATGTGGTCTCTCGTTTGGCTGTAAAGCGGCTATAAGTCAAGGTTAAAAATGGTGTTATAAGTGTTTTATTTACTGCCTCCCAGTGCACAATATTTGACAATGACTGTATTTAGTCTGACACAGTGGTAGATATATGTTTCTGCACAGAATAAAAAAGAGAAGAGAGAAGTGTTCAGAAGAAAACATGTAGCCTTAAACGCTCACCGCTGACCAGTCTTAGCTTTTTAGGAGTGATATAGCGTATGTTCCAGGAGCACAGAAACAGAGGCGTAAATGCCCCCCAGCTTGTTAACATGGCCCTTTCAGCAAAGAAAATCCTCTCACATGCACAACTTTGTTCAGAAAGGAGCATTTTTGCCCACAGCACTCCTGCTAGATGGATGTTTTAGTCTCACAGGAAACTTGACACTGCAATCTCAGGAGGGCAGCCCTGTGTGAGATGCTGGAAGTGGAGTGTCCAGAGCTAACAACCCCGGCAAGCTGAAAGTCCCTTGAAACCAACATTTTATGCCCATTTTAGCTTTCAGTTTAAGAGCAACTGAACACTTGAACTATACTTGCTTTACAAATATGCTTTTATTTATGTGTGACCCATTCTAAGTCACTCAGCTGTTTACATTTGAAGGTCTGATAATGGATACTGAGTGTGTGTATTTTATATACATGCCTCCAAAGTTGGAAGTGTGAAAACCCAATTTTCATCACATTTAAATAATAAAAAACACAATATACTATGTCACATTCAATTTTTTTAAGGACAGGGAAAACATGTTAATTATGTCATTGGCTGTTATTATTAAAAAGAAAGGAGAAGGAAGCTGATTTGCTATGGGGTGTTTTGTTAGCTTTGAAGCACTTAAACATTTACTGACATATTGTTCTAGGAGCTTTCCTGTCTTTTTCCAAACTAGCAGTATGTCCATGTATTTGGTCGTTCCATCACTTTGACCCGGAGACTGAAATATATCAACAACTTTTAGATGGATTGCCATGACATTTTGTTCAGACGTTCACATTGAAATATAATATGAAAGATCTCTATTTGATGGATTGTTTTCAAATGTTCTACTCAAGTTCAGAGTTGGTTCACAGATGATGAATCCTAATAACTTTTGCAGTCCCTTGTAATTCCATCCGGATGTTGACATTTCTGTTTTTTTGTGAAATGTCTCAACAACTGTTGGATGGATTGCCATGAAATATTATGAAGGCATTAATGTCCCCTTTCAGGACGAATTGTGATTACTTTGGCTATTAATCTTCATCAGGTTTAAATCTTAAATCGTCCATTACTCTTGTTTAAGACCAAATATCTACAAAATTAATGACACTGCCATTAGCCTTAGTTGTACTATGGGTTGGCGCTAATTAGATAAAGTTAGATGACAATGTGAAACAATTACCTGCTAAAATAAATGTTGTTGTTAGCATAGTGAAAGTAGCCTTTAGCTCAACGCACCGTTATGTCCAAGTGCAGCCTCACTCAACCCTTGGTGCAGACTCTTAGTCTTGTTACCACATATATTCTTCATCCTGTGTGCAGGGATGTTTCTCGGAAACAAATGCCAGACTGACATCCCATATCCCTGCTGAGCGCTAGCAGGACCTCTGTCTCTCGCCAGGCTGTTGGTCAATTAGACAGACAGTCAGGCAGATTGATAGGCAGCCAAACA